AGAGTTTGGCCACTTGGCGATCGTCGTCTTCAACTCGACAAGCAAGTCTACAGGTACTCAGAGACCGACCCATCAGTTCCGATTTCCGATAGCCGGTACTCCCCCAGTTCACCGAATTCGCGGGCATAAGCTGATTAGTGGTAGTTTAACTCCAACTCCACTGCTTCGGAGGATAGGTCCACGTTGACTGCATGGGTGGAGATGGCTAACCTTTTGTGAATTGAACTTCAACGCGCCCTTCCTTCTAAAGCAGTAAGGATGAGAGGAGTCGTAGTGACTGGATATCTCCGACCGGCTCCGCCCACGAACCAGCGTGGACTGCACCCCAATAATTTTTAATTCGGGAACCTGTTTTTTGTTCCATAATACCTCGGTTTGGGCAACTTTATCTCTTTCACTCGACCATCCTTTGAAGATCAAACATTTTTCAGAGATATGAAGGAGGTGACAGAGGAGGGATTGGAGCAGCTCATATGGAATTATGAGAAGGTAGATTGCTAACTCTTATTAGTCACAGTACTGTAAACGATCACTTATGCAAAGGAGCGGGTCAAGAGTTCAGATACGACGCGCGAAAATCGGGGCGTCGCTCCCGCGGAGCACGATGATTCGTTTATACTGCATCTCAATGACGCCACTCACCTTTCGGATCTCCTGACCCGCTCTCAAGATTTCTTAGTACGCATAACTGTTAGGTCAGTAATTTGAGCCCTGCGTTCCAGGTAATGGAGACGACCTTTCTTTTTTCAACCCCACCGCGTTGTCGCGCCCTGATCATCATGGGATCACCGACTGATCAAGCGCACTGCGAGAAAATCGCAATGGGATGTCGATCGCTCGGAATCACGCCCATTCTTCGTGTCAGCTCCGCCCACAAGGTAACTCCGCCCATAGAGTATTCTGATTGGTTGGCTCATCTAACGCTGTTGAAGACAACATGTGAAACGCTGGACATCGTCGCAGAATATGATGACGATGAGACTCCCACAATAATCATCGCCGTTGCAGGACGATCAAACGGCTTGGGACCGGTGCTTGCTGGGAATTTCACTTTGCCTGTAAGTTCTCCAAGAGTCAATCTGAATGGTGGTGATGATGAAGAATCGTGCAGGTAATCAACTGCCCACCTTTAACCGATGACAATATGACGAACGATATCTGGTCATCATTGAGAATGCCTTCCGGATTGGGATGTTCAACTGTTCTTGGAGCAGATGAAGCGGCCTTATGTGCTGCTAAGGTGAGTTCTACAGTTATTGCGCTTGGAGGGGCATTTCGGCTTGGAGGGGGCTTTTTGCGATTTCGCTGCTTCCTGTTGTCGCGTTCATTGCTTTACAAGTGTTGACAAGCAGTCTCTAAAACTTTACTGGTATCATTTGATGGCTTAACAAGGCACTTCATGACTTCACAAGATTTCAGAGACCTGCACTTAATAGCTCGACACGACGATGGGAAGTAGCAAAGAGGCGAATTGCCCCCCCCCCCCTCCTAGCTGAATTGAGCCACACTGCCATTGTAATTTTGTACTTTTGTCACATTGTCTTTCAGCAAATGGCTCGGTATGATCACATGGTATTCGGCAGGATCCTTGCAATGCAGCTGAACAATGCTATTAAACTTTTGGTGAGTGAAGCATGACTCCAATAATTGTGAGGACTGCGTAAAGGTGTAAGGCATATGATAGTTTGGTAGCCGGCCTATAATCGTAGCAGGGGTGCTATGTCTTGGGAAAATGGTGGAAGAGCGAAGTGAAACTGTCGGGAACCTACAGAAAAGCCTTTTTTTCTACGACGAAAAAAGCAATTTTGGACGAGTTTTCCGTTGGCATCGCGCCAGCAACCGCTAGGTAGATATGGCTGCATGTATTTACTCACATATCCATGCAGCACCGCATCCGCTTCATATCTGTTCATTTGCTTCATATTATAGTTTGCAAATGAAGCGATAAGAGCATCAGCATCGGTCGAATATTTGTGGGCGGGCGGGCGCAGGTGGGCGGCTGGCCGGTATATTGCTCATTGTCGGTACCTTCCGCGAAAAAAGCGCTATGCGCGCCTTCTAAGCGGCGCCGAATTCTGTCCTGCTAGGCGTACTAATCCTGTACCTCTCAGGATTTATCGTGCCACTTGCCCTCAAACGTACCGCTCATGTTGGAGGCTGTCTAGGTTTATTGGCACTTGGGTTGTGGAGACACTCCAGTAAGCCTTCTTCATCGGTATTTACCTCTTCTTTACCAACTTAGAAAGAGGCGCTGCCTTTGTTGACCGTCTCTGCTCGTTGTCTCCACCCATTCGACTAGCGTGGACTGTGCGTTCGAGGCTGCGTTCTCTTCGCGACTCGAACCATTCAGTAGCGCGATTGGGATTTACAACTGAGCGCGCTTTACTGCTTGTTGGACTGCTGCAATTGATAAGTTGATAGTCACGATAAAACTCACTCAAACTCTGCAGTGGCCCAACGATTAGTGGTGGAGCGCGACCAGTCGCAATCGCGCGGATAAATTGCTTGAGTCGCAAAGGCATGATCGCAGCCTAAGGGAACAAAAGAAAAGCCACTTCGATTCAACTGAATACTGCAACTTGTCCGAGGTCAAGAGGAATTGCTAGTCAAAGGACACTAAGGAAAGGGGCATCTCTTATTCCAAGGTCTTGTTCGTGAACTTTCAGGAGAATCTGTCATACGGTACATTTGAACACGTCCGTCGTCAGGTGCCGAGCAGCTACTATATACTGTTAGCCTAAATGAAGAGATTCTTCTGCGCTGCTCGGCTTGGAGGGGCATTTTGCGCCTTCGCTAGTTTCTTTTGCTTGTATG